ATCAGCTGTTTAATCAAAGGGCTTCTGATGCTTTGTATTTATAAAGAGGAGGAAAATCACAGGTGTCTCAGTTCCATCCAGTAACCCAGTAACCCACACCAGTGAGCACAATGCCACCACCCTGGATCAGCTGAACTGTATTGATAATATCAGTTACACCTAAAAAGATTACAGGATAAATGAGGAAAACATTGTGTTTGAACCCACATTCTGAACCATTACACTGTTAAGGCTAATTAGTAAGATGTAGCTATGTCAAATCTGCTTGAGATGAGCAAAACAGAGGTAATATGAACACAATATATGTTACGCACACCAGTACTGAAAACTAAAGGTATCACAATTTGCAGAGGCAAATCATGTGGCGAGAGAGAGAGAAGTGGTTACCTCGAGTGAGTGTATTTACAAGTGAGGGGTTACAAACAGAAGCAGGGGTGGCATGAACAGAAACTAAGGAAAACCTAAACTGGGAAAACTAAGAAACATGAAACTAAACATGAAACTAAACCTGAAATGCGAGGAGACTGAGGGCTGAGGTAACACAGGGCATGACAAACAGACGCTCGGACAAAGAGCAGAGAAACACACACAAAAGGGGGGGGGGCAAATTCATGGGCTGCATCCTCCTGAGCTCCCGTCCTTCGGGGTCTACGTGGGCAGGGGTCCTCAGAAGGTCGGATAGACCGGAAGTAAACGGCTGTGAAATGGGACGGTCGAGCCTTCAGATCTGCTTCACCGCTGTCTCGGTGGAGTTTAATAAACTCGTCCGTCTGCTCCTTGCTATCGAAAATATAAAAGTACACTGGCGTATATTCTCGACCGTCTCACACTTCTGTTTAATCAGTTTTCTGTTTGACGTTTATTCAGCTGTGTGAAAATCCCAGAGGAACCCACCCGATGGATGAATAAAGGTTTATTTTATCTAATCTAATCTAATAACTTTAATCTCAGCCACACTGATTTACTCACGAACAAATAAAGCAAACCAAAACAATAAAAAAGCCCAACAATAACATTTTAAAGTTATCTAAGTGACTTATATATCACGTTTAACCTGACTAGCAAAAGACTGCGAGGGTGTGAAAACGATGAAGCCGGGAGTTCTCCGTTCTTGGCGGCTCTAGTGTATGTGAGTGAAGTTGCCCCCCACCTTCTTCAAATCCAACAAAAGTGGTATCAAATGTTTGTGCTGCTAAAATATAAAGGTCAAAAGGTCAACCAGCCCCCCAGCACAAACGTTTGATACCACTTTTGTTTGATTTGGGTAATGTGGGGGGGCTGGTTGACCTTTTGACCTTTACATTTTCATTAATATCTTTAAAACAGAAGCAGCACAAA